CGGAGGCACTTTGCTGAGGTTACACAACAGCGGGGAACCTGACCTCCCAACTCGGAGCTCCTGCGGGCCGTGGTCCTGGGCTTTCTCTATCGAGTCTTCTTCCAACACACAAATGCAGCTCAGGCCAGCATCAAGAATTGGGCAGGTGTTCTCACAGCTTCTGAACAGCCATCTGAATAACAAGCATTGAGGGCGGGTGGTCAAGACACTGGCTTCAGAGTCAGAGACCCGGCCACCAGCCCAGCTCACCTTCTCTGTGTCTCGGCACCACATGGCACCTCCAACAGCCAGGCCGCTGTGAGATGAGGCCAGTGGGGGGATGGAGACCCTCGCCTCGGCACACAGTGAGGCCTCGAGGAACCGGTGCGCACAGGCAAGAGCGGTGAGGGGTGTGAGGGAGACCCAGGGTCTCTCTGCGTCCCAGTCTCCTTAACCGCAGACCAGGGTCAAAACCAAAAACCACCTTCTAGGGGAATCACAAGGATTCCACTGCCTCGGAGCAGCACCTGGCACAGGGCAGACTGTGTCAGCGTCCTACGTGTGGTCCCTTGGCTAACATGATGGTTTCGCACTGAGAGCTCACGTTTCATCCACACGCGGAAGCAAACCATTCAAGAACAGGACGCAAAACAAAAAAGAAAACAGTAAAAATCAAATCAAAACAAACGAACAGGGCAGGCGGCGAGTGCAGGCATGCTAAGTGGCTTCAGTCATGTCTGACTCTGTGGGACCCTGTGGACTGTCGCCCATCAAGCCCCTGTGTCCGTGGGATTCTCCAGGCAAGAACACGGGAGTGGGTTGCCATTTCCTACTCCAGGGGATGTTCCCGACCCAGGGATCGAACCCGGGTCTCCTCCACTGCAGGCAGTTTCTTTACCGGCAGTGAGCCACCAGGGGAGTCAAGACAGTGTGAGTCGCTCGGTCGAGCGCAGATAAATTCAGAATAAGTGACAGCGGCCGCACCGTGGGACAGACCCAGAGTGCCATGCCAAAACACGAGAATGCATATAACAAAGCAGAAACAGATCCGCAGGCATAGAGAGCAAACTAGTGACTTCCGGTGGAAGAGGGGATGGGGAGGCGGGGCATGGAATTAAGAGACACAAACTACTGTGGATAACATAAATAAGCACCCAGGATATATTGCACAGCACAGGAAAATATAGCCATTATTTTTTAATAAGTTTAACTGGAGTATAATCTATATAAAGATATTGAATCACTATGTTGTACACCTGAAACTAATAATTAAGACGCCTATACTCAACAAAAAATAATTTAAAAAATAAGTGATAACTTCTATTGACTTCTCACCATGAGGAGGTGCGGTTTTAAACTGTTTACCTGTATTGATGGATTGAAATGAACATTTAGCAAAAATGAGTCAGGACTTTGAACAGGGTTTACAGATTAAACGAGAAGCACAGAGAGCCCATGTTCCTTTTCTCTTCAAAGAGGCCACACCTGAAGACCTAAAGATCCAGGGATGGGAAGGGTCATCTATGCTCAGAGCCAGGAAAACCTTAATTGGAGGAAAACAGAGGAAGCCTTTCACCCCTCCCCAACCCTCAGTGAAGATTTAGAATCTGAAGCTCTAATTCTTATCTAATCTAATTCTTAGCCAGGCCCACTAACTCCGTCTGTCAAATGATCTTATTAGTTCTGGAGGCAAGAAGCAGACACAGCATCCCAGGACCGCCCAGGGTCAGGGACCCAGAGGGGCATGCAGCTCAGCTCTCCGCTCTCCTCTCCACACCACCCCATCTGAAAAGTCTGCAGGTCTAGGCTTGCCCCATTCTACTATGGAGAAGCTCACCCCTTCCGGGAACAGAAGAACTCAACGGTTAGACTTCCTCCTTTTACTGAGCGGAAATCTACAGTTTCCCCTACGGCCCTGTCTCCATCCCTGAAGCCCCACCAACCACATCCGTTTCTCTGCCCTACAATGGCCCTTCCAGAGATGTGAGGCACCTGATCCCCTGTCCCCGGGGTGGCTCTGCTCCAGGTTGGGGAGTTTCTTGTGTGACTCAGTTTCCCATCTCCCCATTTTCGTTACCTCCCAGTAATGCTCCAAGCTGTCTCCATCTCTCACCCCGTTTGGAAGGACCATAGCCAAACCCCTCCAGATGGAGGCTAAGAACCACTCAGCAGAGCAGGTCTCCAAAAATATCCCAGACTTTGCATCTCAGAGAAGCAGAACTGGCCAGACCCCACAGAGATCATAAGGTACAGATGGGAAAACTGACTTACTGTGCCTAGGGCCCCCCACACAGGGCGGAGCCAGGAACGGGACCCAGGTCTGCAGCCCTCAGGTCCAGGAGAGTCCTCTAAGACGCAGAACAAAGTTTCCTTTGATCCTGCGTCCGGATACAGTGTCAAATATTTTATTCCTTATCTGTGCTGCTGTTCTTGAAGGAACAAATTCCAAGGATAGCTGGGGAAGGTCTTCTAATTGTGAGGCCAAGGGTCACATCCCCTAGCTAGGGCCTCCCAAGGCTCAGCCCTTTGGAAGGTGGGCTGTCTTTCTCCAGAGAGAGGTTCAGACTGGGAGAGATGGGGCTCCTTAGGATACGGAGAGGAGACAGACCCCAAGTGTTTGTTGCTAGAAAGTCCCTCAGAGCGTGAAGGGTAAACTAAAGCACATCAGCTTAACTCATGTTTTCTAAGTTCCTAGTTGGAGACAGACCCTTACGCTGGGCTCTGCAGGCCCAGAGGTAGTCTCGGAGTCTCTGCCCCTGGCACAGGAAGAAAAATGAAGAAATCGCATCCTACTCAAACAAAGGACGATCACAAATGTGGTGGTTTGTCAGAAGTGGCAGCAGCAACGAAAAGACCAGGAAGTTAGAGCAGCGGGACCCTAAATGTTTTGATCATTTACTACTTTCAAAGGGAAAAAGACTGAGCTCACTCACCCAAATATATTACATACAAGTAACCATGGGCTTCCCTGCAACTCAGATGGTTAAGAATCTACCTGCAATGTGGGAGATGTGGGTTCAGTCCCTGGGCTGGGAAGATCCCTGGAGAAGGGAATGGCTACTCACTCCAGTATTTTTGCCTGGAGCAGAGAAGGCTGGCAAGCTATAGTCCATGGGGTCCCAAAGAGTTGGACACGACTGAGTGACTAAAACTTAGGCACTTAAGCATCACTAACAGACATAAGGTACAATCTATACAAGAGGCAAGATTTAATATTAACCACAGTGACTAAATCTCTACTTCGAAGAGTGTCCTCCCCCTCAAAAAATCTTGGACTAATTTCTTGTCTCATGGTTGTTTTTTTTCCTTTCCTCGTGGGTGATGAATTGATTGTGCTAAAAAGCAAGTGTTCCTTCTCTCATTCTCTTATCCTCATGCACTAGCATTACCAGAACTGCTAACAATTCAGTGTCCTGGTAGGAATCTTTTAAAATCCCTTGCCCATTTATTGAGGGTTAGTTTAGTTAAAACTAGTCAATATAGTCCACAAATCCAACCTGGATTAATTAATCTAGAATGCCCTGAATTGATGGACCAGGTTAATTAGTTATTACCTGCCTAAAATGAACTAAAGAGTGGGGTATCCCTATCACCCCTTTCTCAGAGACGTCTGGGGACATGAGACATGAGGCTGCCTGACCCCTTCCTGGAGAGGGGGTCAGTGTGTCTACACCTGGCAAATGATAGCAAACTTGAATTATTTTCTTGTTTAGATAGTATTTTTTCCTGCACCGCACCGAGCATTTTGCGTACCTTGTCTTGGATGCCACCAGAATGGAAGACAGGGAGATGCTCAGAGAAGGTATTCAGGCTGCAAGGGACGGGAGGGGTCAGCCAGTTTAACCCCTCATTTTGCAGGTAAAGAAACAAAGACCCGAGAAGGGCTGTAACTGGTCCAAGGTCGCCAGGCTGGTCAGCGGCCGGCCCCAGAGGGAATGCAAACCTCTAGTTCTTGCCGCTAATGCCTCTCTGTCCTGGCCACAGGAGGCCCCTCTCGGCCTCTCTCACTGGGCCATAGGCAGCTCCTTGGCCTCTCACCCTTGGGGCTGCCTCTCTTGTGATGTAAGATCACCTGCTGGGTGGCAGGGAGACGTGCATCTCAGCAAAGGTTACAAGTGCTACCAGGATGGAAGACATGGTGTCTCAGTAGGCCCCGGTTCTGAGAGTCACTCTGAAGCCTCAGTTTTGTTATCTGTGAAATGGGACTAATCAGGTCCAGCTGTTGTCTGAGTGCCCATGCGGTCCCGGCAACATCTCTATACGGGGAAGTAACCCCAAAGGGTATTACTACTGTCCTTACTACTCTGGAAGGCTCTGTTTGGGAGGGTGAGATCTGGGGCGCCCTTAGAGCCCAAGCATCCTGCCTCTGGCCACCAACTGCAGCCCAGGGCACCGTGGGACTTGGAGTTCTGCAGCACGGTGGTCCCCGGGATGCGCCAACCCAGGCCTGGTAAGGCGGTGGGCATTTGCAGGCGTGGACCCTGGGCCTTCTGAGGCATTGCCTAGAATCCTGCTCCTGTCTCTAGGGCTCTCTCCCCTCCTGCTGTGAAGGCGAAGCCGGGGCGGCAGAGAGACAAAGGCAGTAGGGAGCTGAGCAGTCAGCTGGGTGTAGAAAGTAAAGGGGTGCTTTTTCTATAGAGAACTTAAAAACAATAATAAAATCAACAAAAAGCCTGGCTTCATTATCATGATGTGCCCACAGTTCTAAACAATGTCGGTGACAAAGCATTCCTTCCTGCCAGCGTAGGCTGCTCCCACCTCTCTGCCCTTGGTGTCTGGCCAGCATCTGATACTATCCCCTGTAGGTTGAGTCAGACCATACTGTATGCTCACCACATCCCAAACAGGCTCAGGGTGCCGCGCCAGCCCTTGGCCTGTGCTCTTCCTTGGCCAGCACCTCCCTCCTTGCCACTCTGTCGGTCCAGCTGCTACAAGGCCCAGCTCAGATGCTTTCTCTTCCAGGAAGTCTTCCCCCGTGCAGTCCCAGCCATCCCCTAGCTGCCTCTGACTGTCCTCCCAAGATGCAGAGTAAGCAGGGTCGTGTTCTCAGCTCAAGAGCCAGGTAAGTGAGAGGGATCACCCTCTGAAATCTGGAATCCACAGCACAGAAAACCGCACCAGGGAGTAGCTTCTCAGCTGTGCGACTTCAGACGAGCCCCACGACTGAAACAGTCCGGCCCACTTCCAGAGTCACTAGTTCAAGCACCCGTTGCTGACCACATCCTCCCTGCTTCCAGCTTACTGGCACCTCCAGACGTGACCCACCCTCTGTCATCGGCCCCAATGGATCAATAAAAACAGGTTCAGGCTCAAGGAGAGGGCTTTGGACCAGAGCTCCTCTCCAGGACAACACAGTTCCTCAGGCTTGGCTCCAGACTTTCTGAAAGACCAGCTTGCAGGATGGTGTCTGGGCCATGTGATATGTGCACACCATGATGCCCATTCCTTGTCCCAAGCAACCCGGGACATCAGGCCAGGCTTCACCCACAGCAGATGCCTTCACCCAGGAGAGTTCCATCACTGGCTTCCTCTACCTTCTCTACCCCACCTGCCCATTCTCCACTCTCTTTCTTCCAGCCAGTTCTGTGGTCTGTCATCTCACTCTTAAGAACACCATAAAATCTTTCTCCCTCCTGACTTCTCTCATTATCATCTGGCAAAACCCTGATGCTGGATGAACCAGGATATCTAAACACTTTGGGGGAAAAAAACAGACGAAAAACAGACGAAAACCCACAGGGTGAGGTCCTTCTCCACCACTCCTGTCCCCCCAGCACCGCTCCCTCTGTGAGTCAGGCCTTGTGAAAGGCGCGGTGGGGAGGTGCGATCCCAGCGGTGTCCTCCACGTGCGTGCGTGTGCCGTCGCTCAGCTGTGTGTGACTCTTAGCGACTCTGCGGACCGCAGCTTGCCAGGCTCCTCTGCCCCTGGTATTCTCCAGGCAGGAATACTGGAGTGGGTTGCCATTTCCTCCCCCAGGGATCTTCCCGACCCAGGGATCCAACCCACTTATCCTGCATTGGCAGGAGGATTCTTTAACACTAAGCTATCCGGGAAGCCCCTTTCTCCTTGTATCTAAAGCCAATCCATCATTCACCCTCCCTCCTCCACCTCCTAAACATCTCCTAAACCATCCACACGGGCTACCACCGTGCCCACGGCTACCACCGTGTTCTTACCTGGTCGCACAGTCTTGGATATCAAACACCTTGCCCCTGATCTTTTCAAAAGATGGAAATTCAGACTTCCCTGATGATTCAGTGGTTTAAGAATCTGCCTTCCAATGCAAGGGACATGGGTTTGACCCCTGGTTGGGACACTAAGATCCCACAGGCCACAGGGCAAATAAAGCCCATGTGCCACAACTAGAGAGCCCGTGCGCCACAGTCAAGACAAGGCCCAACCAAAAAAAAAAAAAAAAACAAGATGGGAATCTGCCCACGCCACTTCATGGCCACTGCTGCAAGGCCTGAAGGGTTTGGCTCACTCTACGTCTCCAGATTCACCTTGGTCAGGGATCTGAGCTACAGACACTTGGGGCTTTGAATTCCTCAATAGTCCATTTCCTCCAGCCTCAGGGCCTTTGCACAGGCTGTTTCTCTGGTCTAGCATGTTCCGTTCTCATGGAGCTGTTCCACCCTCACCCGGCTACTCCCTGCTTATCTTTCAGATCTCAGCTCAAAAGTCCTTCCCTAAGAACAGCCTTCTGCAGTGATCCTGGACTAGGCACATTTCTCCTCTCTGCATGCTCCATATTCCCTCTCTTCTCCAGGTTTTGAGGGACTCTGTGGTTACTGCCCAACTCTCCTTTGATCTGTGAGCTCACTGTGGCAACCCCGAGGTTATCTGTTTTGCTCTGTTTGATATCCCTAGCACTGAGCTGTGTGATGTGGAAAGTGATCAATATATGAACAAAGGTCTCGTTCAAACAACTCAATTGAAGAATTACTTGTTTAGGGAATGAATGAGTGGGCCAGTCTAGGTGAGGTTCTAGGATTATCTGTGCGGGACAGGCCTCCGCAGTCTCTCTCCAGGGCAGGCCATGGGCCACCCTGCTCTTGGAAATGGTCACAACAAGGATGAGATTAGTGACTCGGCCAGCAAGCTCTCAAGCCCCCTTCCTGTCCATGAGCACCTCAGCCCTCCTCCAGGCCCCCCGTCACTCAGAGCACCCAGCATTTAATGGCCAGTCCACCGGGCACTTCTGCACTGACGATACGCTTACTCCGCTGAACGTTATCGCCCACAGTCAGAACCCAGGAGCTGGTCTTTGTGGAGCTGGATGAGGAGGAAGTGGTGGACTCCAGTGAGAACGGGGTTCGAGCCCTGGTTTTACCTCTGGCTGACTGTGTGCTCTTGCAAGCCAATGCTCTGGGCCCCGGTTTCCTCATCTGTAGAAAGAGGCCAAGAATATCTGGACACTAGGTTGCTGCACGTATTAAATGAGTGCATATGTAGTAAATCAAGAATCTAGGCAGGGGCTGGTCACATTTAACTGATTCTAAGACACACAGTTTTCAACATCTCTGAAACTGGGATGCCACTTATAGTTTAACTGCTTGCCCTTTTTCGTCCTAATGGATTATAAAATAATGGTGTATCTCACAACAGGCGGTGCTTTGCATTCCATGAAGTAGCTCAGTAGGTCAATTTTTCTGTTCTCTTTGCAAAGAGGTGGGACAGTCTGTGAGAGTCCCAGGGACCGAAGGCTGAGAATACATGTCACTGAGGACAAAGGGTCTTCTGGGGTCTGGCACGCTGAGGCGGAAGCCTGGAGCATCACGGAATCTGAAAGCACAGGCTCCTCCCTAGCCTGGCAGCCTCTGGACCACTCCCAGCTGGCCCAGTCCCACTTGGGGGGCAGCCCGAGCCCCAGCAGGACCCTCACGTCTCTGGGTCTGACTCTGTGCTTCTACTGATGTCACCCGGGGTCCCTGGCTTTGGGCAATTGGTCATAATGCTGACTGCTGACCTAAACTTCTAGTCCTTGTCCCAGAAGAGAGAGCCCTGGGAACCACTCTGGAGACCCCCGAGACCTCTCCTCCCGCGTGATACCTACATCAAGCCATCCCTGGCCCCTGCCCTCAGCTGTTCTGGAAGATCCACTGCCCAGGCTTTACCCAAGTCCTCATGCTGCGGGTACCTCCCCGAACCCTCCAGCCTGGAGACAGGAGACTGGCTGGATTACCATACCATCTGCATTCCATTTTAACACACATTACATACAGCCACCTCTTTATAGAAATAAAATGTCTGCCACAAAAAATTTCAAAATACAGAAAAAAAAAACCCAAAATTTTGCCATCTGGTGATAATCAACCAGCTTGATGTGTGTCGGTCTGAAAATTTTTCTGTATTTGCATGTGTGTAGAGCTAGCCTTTCTTCATAGTCAAACCAAAATGGGCTCACTCCATACTCTTTCCACACGCCACACTCCACGCTCGTTTCCTTGATTTTCCAGGGAAGACAAATTCGCAGACCTCTCACTACACAAGCTGGTTTCTTCCTGGTGACCTCACGGTGCCCCCCATCCGCTCCATCCCTTCACCTGGCAGGTCCCTACAGCCCCCCTTGATCAGGTCCCTGAGGCCTGGCCTGGGTGTCCAGCCTCTAGCAGGATGCAGTGCTTATGGCCTGGGAGGTTCCTGTGGACACTTGCCCCCCTTCCTCAGGACAGGGCTGTGACTGGATGGCAGTCACCCTCAGGGCCTCCTCAAAGCACAGCCGTACCCCAGCACAGAAACATTCTAGAACGCCGAAATCAAGGGTGTGAGGTGGATAGTGGCTGTCTGCCCCTTCTGGGCTTGACCACAGACCTCTCAGAACAGGCCGAATGTTCGCCTGGACTCGGTCTCCTGCTGCCCCGGTATTTCCCTAAGCCCTGGGACTTCAGAAAGCACAGCAAACAGCAGTGAACAGGCGCTTGGCGTTCATAGTTCACTGAGTGTTCGCATGTTCTCGGTCCAGTTTGGGAGCTCACAACCACCGTATTCGTGAACAAAGCAGGTGTTTATTATCCCCATTTTACAGATGAGGAGACTGAGGCTCAGAGGTGGGGCAATTCACCCACTGACCTTTCTTGCTTCTCTCCCCTTCAGAGTCTGGCCAACTTCAAATCCCACTAACAACCTGGCCCAAGCATTACTTCCTCCAGGCAGCCTCCCCACTCTACCCGCCTCCCCAAGCTGCATTAGACGCCCCTCCTTGAGGGCCCACAGCTCTGGGGCTTCCCTGTCTGAACTGAGCCCCTCACCAGAACGCGTGCCCGTGAAGGCACTGACGGGTCTGGCTTATTCCCATCCTTACTCCCCAGTCACAGTGAAACCTCAACAGGTGGCTGCTGAAGATAACAGATCCCAACAGAGGGAATGAAGATGGTTACGGTTATTAAGGCAGGAAATGCCCTCCCCGCTTTGCGGAAGAGGACAAGGGGCATAAAGAAGGGACAGGACTTGCCTACAGAGCGTGCCACTGACCAGGACAGGTCTCCCCGCCTCTTCAGAGGGCTCTTTTGTTCCACTCTGCTCCTTCTTGCTTGCCATCTTAGACTCCAAGCCTCTGCGTGGGGTTCATGTCCGTCTCCTCCTGCACTGGCGAGGCCTCCGTGGCCAGGCAGGTGTGAGGGGAGCGCTGAGACGGGGGCTCTGGTTGGGAAGGCTTAGCCCCCCGCCTGGGCCCACACCCTGGCGTCGCCCTAGGAACAGCAAGAGCAGTTGGCTCTCCGTTGAGCTCTTCCATGCGCTACGCCCTGTGCCAGAACTTTCCATCTACATTTGCTTAGTCCTGCAGCTAGCAGGTGGGGAGGGAAGGATCCCGGCCTGAAGCTCACCCAGTGGCTGTGTTGGGATCGGAAGCCAGGGCTGCATCCCCGGCAGTAGGCGCCCCGGGGAGTGTGTTGGCACCAGCATCAGAAGTAAATGCATAGTCAGAGTACCAGAGACAACTCCCAGGGGGCCTGCAGGCTTGGCAAGGTCCCAAACTCTCCTTCCCTACCCTGGTCACCTCCCAGCAAGGCCTGCTATAGAGCCGAGACTCCTGGGCCCGGGGAAGACAGGCCTGCCCTGGAAATGCCCAGCACGCTGTATGAGCAGGTCATGGCACCTGCCAGCCCCTTGCAAGCTCTGGGCTCAAGGCCAAGCTGGAAGCAGCTGTCCCATCAACGCTACAAATGCTCAGCTTCCTGTTTCTTCTTAGAGTGAGACCTCACATGTCCGCTCCCAACTGGCTGACGATGCTAGCTGAACAAGCCTCATTTCTCACAGGCCTCAACTTCCCTGTCTGTGAGACGATGCTGGGGGTGGGGTGAGTGGGGGCCGGGAGTCTCAGTGGAACTTACCAATGGACATTCTAGTTTGCCTACAGGCAACATAGCTCAGTGACTAAGACCCTGAACACTGGAGTCAGATGATATGGGTCCAAATGTATGACCCCGGGCAAGCTGCCCAACCACTCTGGGCCTCAGTGTCCTTATCTGCAAAATGGGGATAACAGTGGAAAGAAAGACAAAGTAGATATAACTAAAATATTTATATTGACTATCTGAGATAGAAAGAGAAGACTGAGTCATGTGTTTTGTGTCCCTCTCTTTTTTCTAAATTCTTTGTTATCATCAAGTATTGATAACAGAAAAAACAAATATACCTTCTTGGCAAATTAACTTCATTGAGATATATAACATAATACATCCATTAAAAATAATAAGTAATAGTAACTATTCTATAGATTGTTTTGAAGATTGACTGGGCCAGTTAAAATCTTAGATGGCGCCTGAATCAAAAGAGGTGCTATAAAGTATTTGTTAATACCAAAATCAGATTGATTATATTCTTTGCAGCCAAAGATGGAGAAGTTCTATACAGTCAGCAAAAACAAGACCGGGAGCTTACTGTGGCTCGGATCGTGAACTCTTTATTGCCAAATTCAGACTTAAATTGAAGAAAGTAGGGAAAACCCACTAGACCATTTAGGTATGACCTAAATAAAATCCCTTATGATATACAGTAGAAGTGAGAAATAGATTCAAGGGATTAGATATGATAGAGTGCCTGAACAACTATGGATGGAGGTTCGTGACATTGTACAGGAGGCAGGGATCAAGACCATCCCCAAGGAAAAGAAATGCAAAAAGGCAAAATGGTTGTCTGAGGAGGCCTTACAAATAGCTGTGAAAAGAAGAGAAGAGAAAGGTGAAGGAGAAAAGGAAAGATATACCCATTTGAATGCAGAGTTCCAAACAATAGCAAGGAGAGATAAGAAAGCCTTCCTCAGCGATTAATGCAAAGAAATAGAGAAAAACAATAGAATGGGAAAGACTAGAGATCTCTTCAAGAAAATCAGAGATACCAAGGGGACATTTCATGCAAAGATGGGCTCAATAAAGGACAGAAATGGTATGGACCTAACAGAAGCACACAGATATTAAGAGGTGGCAAGAATACACAGAACTATACAAAAAAGATCTTCACGACCCAGATAATCACGATGGTGTGATCACTCACCCAGAGCCAGACATCCTGGAATGTGAAGTCAAGTGGGCCTAGGAAGCATCACTACGAACAGAGCTAGTGGAGGTGATGGAATTCCAGTTGAGTTATTGCAAATCCTAAAAGATGATGCTATGAAAGTGCTGCACTCAATATGCCAGCAAATTTGGAAAACTCAGCAGTGGCCACAGGACTGGAAAAGGTCAGTGTTCATCCAATCCCAAAGAAAGGCAATGCCAAAGAATGCTCAAACTACCACACAATCGCACTCATCTCACACACTAGAAAAGTAATGCTCAAAATTCTCCAAGTGAGGCTTCAACAGTACATGAGCCGTGAACTTCCAGATGTTCAAGCCAGATATAGTAAAGGCAGAGGAACCAGAGATCAAATTGCCAACATTCACTGGATCATTGAAAAAGCAAGAGAGTTCCAGAAAAACATCTATTTCTGCTTTACTGAATCTGCCAAAGACTTTGACTGTGTGGATCACAACAAACTGTGGAAAATTCTTAAAGAGATGGGAATATCAGACCACCTGACCTGCCTCTTGAGAAATCTGTATGCAGCTCAGGAAGCAACAGTTAGAACTGGACATAGAACAACAGACTGGTTCCAAATTGTCAAGGCTGTATATTGTCACCCTTTTTATTTGACTTATATGCAGAGTATATCATGAGAAATGCTGGGCTGGAAGAAGCACAAGCTGGAATTAAGACTGCCGGGAGAAATATCAAACACCTCAGATATGCAGATGACACCACCCTTATGGCAGAAAGCGAAGAAAAACTGAAGAGCCTCTTGAGGAAAGTGAAATAGGAGAGTGAATAAGTTGGCTTAAAACTCAACATTCAGAAAACTAAGATCATGGCATCTGGTCCCATCACTCCATGGCAAATAGATGGGGAGACAGTGGAAAAAGTGTCATACTTAATTTTCTT